TACAAGAAGGCCAGACTCAGAGCACTATGGAAGCATATAGGTAGCGAAATTCAATTTAAAATGCAATATGCAAAATGGCAACGCAATAGTCAAAATGGCATTGTATTTCTGTATTTAAATTTACATTTTCCATTACCCACACATGCAAAGTTTGGTGCAAAAGGAAAATGAAAATTAAATGATATCATTTACATTGATCGTTTGAAACATGGCGGCTGGAGATCTGATAAGATCGTTGAATTCACTGGCAGATGAAGTGGAGCGTGAACAGAGAAATATATTAAGCATATTCCATGCTAAAATCAAACGTTCGAACGACCGACCGATCGAACGTCTACCGAATGTCTTGAGCTTTGAGCGTCTTACACTGCGGGTGACCCACGTGACGTCAGCGTCTTGAAATTAGCTGTTTTTTAAACATTTAAGGAGCCAAGCTGCTGTGTAAAGACTATAAATGGACATTACAAGCATTACAATAATGATATTTTATACCTAAAATAATACTCAACCATTTCCTGCATCCTGCTGTACTTCCCTGAATAAGTCTTTAAAGGTGTTGTAGGCTAATAAGTCGTTCTGAGTAATAAATTGAAAAAGCTCCCACCTGTATATGACTAAACAAAATAACATGTAGTTTACTTGAGGTTCTGTTATAAATGTGTCTAATGTCTATTAGAAACATGAATTTAAATTAATTAATTATATAAAAAAATTGTTTGAAATTAAGACTTCCCGAGTTTTTGAACGGAAGTCCTGAATGACTGTTATTAAAGGTCATTTAATGAATTTTAATGATTTTCAATGCCCCACAGAAACCCTGCCTTTGTTGGAAATGTAAATAAATTATTTTAATTATGTTTGATTATCTTATAACACTTTTCAGTAACAATATTTCATATTACAGTAAATGTATATATTTAAACATAGGCCAATACATATATTTACAACAGATGTTGCAAATTTAAAGATGGTGTTGATAAATCACATTCAATTAATGTGAAGATCTAGTGAGGGTTCTCAGTCCCGCTCCCGGAGGGCCAATGTTTGTTTTTAACTCTGCCAAATTTGTTTTCCTTTCCTTTCATAAAGTATAGGCTAGAGTTCAAGTTACCACTGAGTGTTACAATTATATGATATTTCAGAAACTTAAAAAAGCTACTACACTTTACTGTAATATGAAATATTGTAACTGAAAAGTGTTATAACATAATCAAACATAATTCAAATAATGTATTTACATTTCCAACAAAGGCAGAGTTACTGCAGGGCATTGAAAATCATTCAAATTCATTAAATGACCTTTAATAACAGTCATTCAGGACTTCCATTCAAAAACTCGGGAAGTCTTAATTAATTTCAAACAATTTTTTGTATAATTAATTAATTTAAATTCATGTTTCTAATAGACATTAGACACATTTATAACAGAACCTCAAGTAAACTACATGTTATTTTGTTTAGTCATATACAGGTGGGAGCTTTTTCAATTTATTACTCAGAACGACTTATTAGCCTACAACACCTTTAAAGACTTATTCAGGGAAGTACAGCAGGATGCAGGAAATGGGTGCTGGGCGGTATGACCAAAAATTTATATCACGGTATTTTTCAAAATTATACCGGTTTTACGGTACATGACGGTATTTTTTTTTCCATGCATGACTGGGTGTTAACGATATTTACTACTGATTGAGAGAGTAAATACTGCAGTATATTGACTTAGAATGGCGGTGCGGCCAACTGAATGCACTGCTTCTCTGCCGCTCACTGCACAGAACAGACGCCGAGAGAGGTGACACCTCTCCGGGAAAGTCAGACCTCGCGTTCGCGGGACAGCACTGGCGAAATCTTCCAACTGAACCATAGCTAAGGTTTATCCCAAAAAGTCGCTAGGTTTGTCAGTATGAATATTCTATGGAAAAAAGCCGCTAAAAGGGTCTGAAAGTCGCTAAATCTAGTGCTAAAGTCGCGCTCGTGTGTGTGTGAGACACGGGAGCTGATGGCAGGGGGCGGTGGATATTTGTGGTGGTCAATGTGGATATTGTGGATGAGTTCTTCTGTGTCATCACGTTCTATTAGTTCTACAGCTACAGTTTCGGAACTTTCACGCTTAGTAACACATACAGCTGTTCCCTCACCACAGCGCAACAGTGAAAAGGGACCCCTTTCAAACAGTCTCGCGTTCCGAACGTTGTTTAAGCTACATACACCGGTATTGCGGTATTTAAAAAATTTATATCATCACAAAAATAAACACCGGTATTCGGTATGAACCGGTATACCGCCCAGCACTATAAAATATCATTATTGTAATGCTTGTAATGTCCATTTATAGTCTTTACACAGCAGCTTGGCTCCTTAAATGTTTAAACACCCGCTAATTTCAAGACGCTGACGTCACGTGGGTCACCCGCAGTGTAAGACGCTCAAAGCTCAAGACGTTCGGTAGACGTTCGATCGGTCGGTCGTTCGAACGTTTGATTTTAGCATGGAATACGCTTCATATATTTCTCTGTTCCCGCTCCCCTTCATCTGCCAGTGAATTCAACGATCTTATCAGATCTCCAGCCGCCATGTTTCAAATGAACCACGCTTCCGCCAATCCCTGCCTTGAAGAAATGATTGACGGAGGGTGGGCGTGGTCAGCTCGGAATGCATTTTC